CCAGTGTCATAAGTACTTTACAGGGAACACTTGTGCCGGAGGGGCCTGTGGGCCCCCTTCAGCAAGGAGAGGGGCAAGGCCAGCCTGGGCAGGTCTGAGCTGCTAAGAGTTGTGACATTCGGCCCTAACCGGTGTGGCTCGGTGGATAGAGCATCGGCCTGCGGACTGAAGGGTCCCAGGTTCAATTCCGGTCAAGGGCATGGACCTTGGTTGCGGGCACATCCAAATTAAAAGCGGGCACATCTGCTTTAGTTTAGAAATATAAAGATCTGATTAATCCACTTGGTATATTAAGAGCAGGAAAGAGATTTTTATCCCGTAGCCAAGAAACACTGAGAAACTACTCAAGGTTGGTTGACTAAGATGGTTAGTTTGGCCAGCTTTGTGGAGGCAGGTGGGGCTGGCAAGGTGGAAGATGGGGAAGCTGATAGGGGAAAAAGAGAGAGAAAACAGGAGATGAGGAAAAGAGAATGACAGAAGTAAAAACTCGACGAGGCCCAAACAGAAATCCATCTGAGAGGATTCCACATGCTGGAGGCAGTGACCCTGGGTTCGTGCATGGCTGTGCTATTAGCTGCCACCTGTTGTATCCTGTTCAGCCAACTACACTAACCCTTAAACCTTTTAGGGAGCCGAAACCGGTGTGGCTCAGTGGATAGAGCATCGGCCTGTGGACTGAAGTGTCCCAGATTCGATTCAGATCAAGGGCATGTACCTTGGTTGCGGGCACATCCCCAGTAGGGGGGTGTGCAAGAGGCAGCTGATCGATGATTCTCTCTCATTGATGTTTCTAACTCTCTATCCCTCTCACTTCCTCTCTGTAAAAAAATAAAATATATTTTTAAAAAATCTTTATAGGAAAATCCACTCTGCTTGTCAAGGGGAAAACAGAGTGTTACCTGGGTACAAATAACCAGAGATTTCCTCAAAATCAGACCCAAATTCTGCAGCCTCCACTCTGGTGAATGCTGGTTTCTATTTCTCCTTTTTTATGGGCTGGGTGGATTTTCCACTTCAACAGCCTGGTGCACGCAAGTCTCCACTTCAGCAAATGGTTGGGAAGACCTGTCAGAGGTTTCCGGTACAGCAGTGAATGAAACAGACGAGACTGCCACCCACACAGCTTTAGTGACATGGGGAGGGAGGTATGTGTCTCCTCTGGCACTCCTGCCCCGTTCTCAGCTCCTTTAAGGGCAACTCAAGTCCTAGCTAAGGAAAGGGGAAACCGAGGAAATCCAAAGACTGACAAGAAAACATGGAAATGTTACAGCTAATGCTCATCCCAATCAAAAACAAAACAAAACTGAACACAGCGTTCAGCAACCACATAGACTGTAACTCCCGAAATGAATCAACAGTGACAGAGTGTTTTTAGTTATATTTAAATAAAGTTCATAAAGATGACCCAGCCTAGTGGATTACAAGATCCTAAAGTACCTTTGGAATCATTAAGGGGCATGTTATGTTTATGGAGCTTGACTGTTAAGTATATTCCTTGTACTTTGAATACTTGTGTCCCAATACGCGGCCTGCCTAAGGTACACCTCAACAGAAGGGTGCCATAATCAAAGCAAGTTTAGGGAATGTGGCACGCTCTAAATGACTTGGGGATTCACACTGTGTTTTTGAAAATTCAGTTTTAGGACAAATCCTGCATGAAAGAATGCTGCAGAACTTAGTCTGAGCCAGTATTTCCCAAACTTATTTGACCATGAACCATTTTTTTTTAAATCTAATATTTATTAAGAGTACACAACTCGCTTCAGGGAACACATGTGGGATACACTATAATATAGGGGATACACTGCTTAATAATTAATCTGAAAATGCAATTATCACTCTCCCAAGCATGCTGATGAACTGCTATAGGAATATAAAAACTTCCCCCAATGAATTTCTTTTCTTTTTTTTAAAGTATATTTTATTGATTTTTTTACAGAGAGGAAGAGAGAGAGATAGAGAGTTAGAAACGTCGGTGAGAGAGAAACCTCGACCAGCTGCCTCTTGCTCACCCCCTACTGGGGATGTGCCCGCAACCAAGGTACATGCCCTTGACCGGAATCGAACCCGGGACCTTTCAATCCGCAGACCGATGCGCTATCCACTGAGCCAAACCGGTTTCGGCCCCCAAAAGAATTTCTTACTGAAGATCACTCAACAATATGCTGACTTACTGTATTTTTAAGAAGAAAAATTCTAATGAACAGAAATTGGATCTTGATAGGTGGAAAAGAATTCAAATTAATTGTAAAATAATGATTTTGCTAAATTACCGGCAGCTTATCTTCTCTAAGCATGCCTTTCTATATTTCCAGAGTGTATTTAATATATTCCCTTACAGAAACCATATTGAACAAAAAAAAAAAGGCCAATATTCACCTCTGCCCTATTCCCGGAAGTGTCTGAGATTTGGTATCAACACGTACAGTTCGTGAGTCACAAGCATGAGACTAGGATTTCTGTGTTTGTGATGCTGTTACTTATCACTTGATCCCTCCTCTGGATATCAAAGTATAATAGTCTTAAAGCCTTTGTTGGAGGGTTTTTTAAAATATATATATATTTTTTTATTTTTTTATTTTTTTTTACAGAGGAAGGGAGAGGGATAGAGAACTGAAAACATCAATGAGAATCTTCGACCAGCTGCCTCCTGCACACTCCCCACTGGAGATGTGCCCATAACCAAGGCACATGCCCTTGACCAGAATCGAACCCGGGACCCTTTAGTGTTGGAGGTTTTACATAGAATCAAATTCCAGTGACTGAAAATGTTTCATTATTCAGTTACCAATAAAAAAACAAACAAACAAAAAAACACATACAAACTCGGTCAACACTTATTTAGCACCTACTATATGCATGCCGCTGGATTAAGCACTGTCATGGTAAATGGACTTTTGCGGGACCCAAATCAAGACAATGGTCTGACAGTAGGACAGAAACTCAGGAAACATCGGGACACTGGATAACAGATGAGTAAGTTGCTGCACTGGAGAAGCTTGTAAGACAGACACCAGGCGAATTTAAAGACATCCTTACCACCACAAAAAGGCCTCTTTCTAAAAAGACTACTGTAATGACCTAAAAGCTTACTATTAGTTAATGCAAGATAAACCAATATTAGACTCGGGCCAAAACACTTGAAAGCTATTCAGAGTTTCCAGATTCAGCCTCACTTGTGTAATGCTTTAAAAAGAAAAGGAAAAGTCGAAATCGGTTTGGCTCAGTGGATAGGGCATCAGCCTGCAGACTGAAGGATCCCAGGTTCGATTCCAGGGGCATATGCCTTGGTTGCGGGCACATCCCCAGTAGGGGGTGTGCAGGAGGCAGCTGGTCGATGATTCTCTCTCACTGATGTTTCTAACTCTATCCCTCTCTCTTCCTCTCTGTAAAAAATCAACTATATATATATATATATATATATATATATATATATATATATATATTTTAAGCCAGTTAGGTAGGCTTAATATATAAGCATGATGCGGATATTCAGAGCAGCTAGGTCAACAGCCTCAATTAAAACCACTGCGGCTGTGTGCCTTTGAAGCATCTACCGAAAGAGCGCGCACCTTCTGATGAGAAAAAGGTGAGCTGTCACGTGATGTACGGGAGGGGGTGGGGAAAATCACCTCCACCTACTTTACAGGGGGTTAAAAAAAAGTATCACGACTCCTGATACAAACTTAAGACACAAAGCTAACCGAACTGCAGTCCTCACGCTCAGGAGGTCTGGCAGTCCTCCGTTATAAAGAAAAGCAGGTTAAGTTTGCAAAACCACTGAAGCAGCAGCGCAGCGGCGGGGAGAGGGATGCTTTCAACCACCTGTGGCCAAACGCGCCAATCGGTCTTCCCTCGTTTAGTAAAACATCAACAATGCGTGCGTTCCAGCTGCACTATTGCAAGTCAGAGCCCTGGAAAACTGCTGCTGCGTGCCCTACTGAACTTTATTTTTTTTTTCTTTTATTTTTTTAAATATATTTTATTGATTTTTTTTTTTTAAAGAGAGTAAGAGAGAGGACAGAGAGCTAGAACCATCCATGAGAGAGAAGCATCGACCAGCTGCCTTCTGCACACCCCGCACCGGGGATGTGCCCGCAACCAAAGTACATGACCTCGACCGGAATCGAACCTGGGACCCTCAGTCGGCAGGCTGACGCTCTATCCACTGAGCCACACCGGTTTCGGCTTTTTTTCTTTTCTTTTTTTTAAAAAAAGATCATTCTTGTGGGGGAGATAAGAGATCAGCCAAAGGATTTGTATGCATGGATATAAGCAGAACCAATGGACGCAAAATGGGGGAAAAAAATAAAAAAAAGATCAATCTTTAAAAAAGAAACTTAGCAAAGATTAAAGCCCAGACACTTTGACAAAACACAGCCAAGGCAACACACGTTGGAGAGAAGACATGCAATTTAAAAAAAAAAAAAAAAAAAAAAAAAAAAAAAAAAAAAAAAGACAAGTCACAAATGTGTTCCGCCAAGCCGGATCGCTTCATTAAGAAAATCAACTTTTGTTCTGAGCTGCGTTCCCGGCCGGATTGTGCCATCCCGTGCACTTGGCACACATGGACGCTACGAGACGCGAACCCCAAATATCCCAAAGTCAATGGTCCCCGCGCCGAGCCCCCAGCGGGACAGCGGGTGCCACGCGCGGCCCGCGGGGCGCCCCCTTCCCTCCCTTCCCTCCGAGGACAAAGTTCACCCCGACAAGCCTGGGGGGGCCGAGGGGGGCTCCCCCGTCCCGCTCGGAAGGGAGGGAGCGAGCGGCCTCAAGCGCCTCGGAGAGAAGTTCACAGAGGACCCCTGATGTCCCCCCCAAAACCTCCGCCGCGGCTCGGACGCGCCCTCACCCCCAAACACCTTTCGTTAGGGCCCGGGTCCGGGTCGCCACCCGGCAAGACGGGCAGCGGGGCGCCCCGTCAGTCCCCCAGAACCGGGCACCGGGGAGCGGCCCCGCCCGGCCCGGAGGGAGCGTTCCCGCCCGCCCGGCGCCCTTACCTTCAAGTCGCGCGGCTCCGCGGAGGGGGCGCCGGCGGCGGCCGCGGCTTCGGGCTCCGGGGCGCCCGGCCGGCCCGGCGCGGGGGGCAGCAGCGCGGCCGCCGCCGCGGGGCCCTGCGGCGCGGCCTCGGCCTCCCGGGCGCCGGGGTACACGGTCTGGGTCTCGGAGATGTGGATGCTCGGGGCGCAGCCCATGCCGGCGGGGCGCGGCGGGCGGACACGCTGGCGGCGGCGGCGGCTGCTCTCCGGGCTCGGCAAACGGTCAGCAAACGGCCCGCCCGGCGCCTCGCGGCCGCCGCCAGCGCCGGGTCATGGGCGGACGGGCGGACGGACGGCCGGGTGGGCGGGCGGCGGGAGCGCGGGTGTCCCGTCAGGAAGCGCGGCGGCGGCGGCGGCTTTTATCGCGGGCGTCGGGGCGGGGGCGCCGCGGACGCCCCGCCGGACATGCCCTCCCCGGGCGGGCGCCCGGCCGCCCTCACATCGCCCACTCGCCGCCGGCCGCGCTTCCGGGAGATTCCGGACGGGAGATTCGCGTTCTTTCCCGTCACCTCGCTGCTCCGACCCCGAAAAGAAGCCTCCCCGCCGGCCTCGCCGCGCCCGCCCTGAGGGCCGCGGGGCTGAGGGGAGCCCGTCGGGCGGGCGGCCGTCCGTCCGCTGAGAGGCAGGGAGCGCGGAACTGAGGCGGCCCGGGCCGCGCCGTCGAGAACCGCAGAAACGACACGACGCGCCCTCCCGGGAGCTGCGGGCTCCAGGCTCCGAGCTCCGGCTCGGGCTCCGCGGCTGTGGAGGCGGCGCCACGCCCGGCGCCGAGCGGCAGCCTCCCGGCGGCGGCGTCCCGGCAGCAGCACCTGGGGCGCCGCCGCCGCCTCCCGCGCGCCGTACTGCGCATGCGCGGCCCGCGGTGTGGGGGGCGGGGGGGGGGGCAGAGGCGGTGCGGGCGCCGCGGGGAGCGGAGTGGGGAAGAGACTGGTCCAAGGACATGAGCCATGAGCGGCGCGCAGAGCGGTGACCTCGAGCCGCCACCGGAGCCCTGATTGCGACCGGGAGACGTAGAACGTCTTCTGCGACTTCAAGTTGTTCCTTTGAGGGTTTTTTTTTTTTTATAAATGTATTTTATTGATTTTTTACAGAGAGGAGGAGAGAGGGAGAGAGAGCCAGAAACGTCGATGAGAGAGAAAATCGACCAGCTGCCTCCTGCACACCCTGTACCAGGGATGTGCCTGCAACCAAGGTACATGCCCTTGACCGGAATCGAACCCGGGACCTTTCAGTCCGCAGACCAGCGCTCTGCCATTGAGCCAAACCGGTTTCGGCTCCTTTGAGTTTTTTACAAAACTGCCCCTCCCCTTCTTGGGATCTAAAAGAAGCCTGAGCCCTGTCTGCATTATTTAAAAAAAAAATTTTTTTTAAATATATTTTATTGATTTTTTTACAAAGAGGAAGGGAGAGGGATAGAGAGTTAGAAACATCAATGAGAAAGAATCATCCATCAGCTGCCTCTTGCACACCCCTCACTGAGGATGTGCCTGCAACTAAGGTACATGCCCTTGACCGGAATCGAACCCCGGACTTTTCAGTCCACAGACCAACGCTCTATCCACTACCAGTGTTTCCCAAACGTTTGACATGTGTACCCCTTCTATAATTTTCATAACGCTGAGTATCCCTCGTACTCATGAGAACGTAGAATTAGGCGCAGCTAAGCCCGGTGCAATGAATATCCCCACCAAACTCTTCCCGTACCCCTGGGGGTACGCGTACCACACTTTGGGAAACACTGCCTGAGCCAAACAGGTTTCGGCCCTGTCTTCAGTTTTTTAAGGTGGATTGGAGGAACTCCTAGAGGCTCCCCTATTCTTGGAGCCTTCTCCATCTGTAAACCTCCCCCAACCCCCCTCCGTGCAAAACTCGGATGTCTGGAGTCTGGCACCCAGACAAGCAAGGGGTTCAGATCCCAGCTCTGCATGACCTCAATCAGGCCACTTACCTCTGAGTCAGAGAGGTCCTGGAAGGATTCCGGTTTTGTGGGGGAGGGCTGAGGGGAAGGGGGGCCATGAGAGGGCTTAAAGCATGACCCCTAAAGCCAAGTCCTGGAGCACCTCATGCCAGGCTGCACCTGCCAGGCACTGGAGACTCCAAGGGCTTCCTGCTTGTGGGAGCAGAGCAGGGAGAGACCTGCGAAGACTCCCGACAGCACCCTCACGCACCCCTTGGCCAACTTGCTGTGTGACCTTGGGAGAGTCACTGAACCTGTCTGTGCCTGGAGGGCTGCAACCCTGGGTGTCCATGGCGTGGCACCCCAGAGCGGCCCACCCACCTCGGGCGCACCCCTGCCCCTGCCCTCCCTGCGACTGTGGGTTCACAGAGACCCCTTCAGGGCTGGCCCCTGCCCCACCTCTACCCTCCTCCCCCTACACTCTCCCCACTGCCCCACCCTCCCACCACTGCAGTCCTCGCCTTGGACCAGGAGGTTGCTCAGGGCTGCAGCTCAGCTCAGGGGCTGGGTCTCTGGTGGTGGCTCAGGCTCTGGGGACCCCTAAGATCCACAGCCCAGGGTCCCTCGAGCCTCAATCTTCCAGCTGAGGTGCGAGGTGTGCACCAGGTGGTTCCACAACAGCAATGGTTCCCCGGACAGTGGCACAGCAGGGAGGCCCAGGATCCCAAGAGCAGCCTGTGCCATTCAAGTTCATTACTACCGTGTTTCCCCGAAAATAAGACATCCTCCGAAAATAAGACCTGCTTACAGATTTCCTTCTGAGTGAAATATAAGGCATCCCCCCGAAAATAAGGCCCCCCCCTAGGCTAAACAATGAGAGATTTGGTCCACTGATTCTGAAAGAAATGGAGTCACAAGAAATTCACCAGGAAATTCAGGAATTGGATTGTGATGATGATGTTCCAGAAGATGATGGCATGATTGTCATCGAATAAATGAGTACATTCTTGCTACTGTAGGATTCACAGTGTGTCTGGTTTGTGTTGACAATGACCGTACTGCCGTACCATATACAGGTAATACATTTCCTTTATTTTCACTTAACAATAAATGTGTACCGTATTCTTCTTCATGGAAAAATAAGACATCCCCTAAAAATAAGACCTAGCGCATCTTTGGGAGCAAAAATTAATTTAAGACACTGTCTTATTTTTGGGGAAACAGGGTAGCTGCCAGAACCACCAGCGCCACTGAGACTCCATTGTCAGGTTTCAGCATTTTGAACCACAGTCATGGTTATGCCTCTGGGCTTTATCAAAGGAGCAGCCGATGGAGGAAGAGGTCTGGAAAAATCCCGGAGGAGATTTTTACTTCTCACCCCTTTTTCTACCTTTGTTTTGGGCAGGTTTTATTTTTTATTTTTTTTAAATATATTTTATTGATTTTGTACAGAGAGGAAGGGAGAGAGATAGAGAGTTAGAAACATCGATGAGAGAGAGTCATCGATCAGCTGCCTCTTGCACACCCCCCACTGGCGATATGCCCGCAACCAAGGTACATGCCCTTGACTGGAATCGAACCTGGAACCCTTCAGTCTCCAAGCCGATGCTCTATCCATTGAGCCAAACCGGTCTTGGCTGTTTTGGGCAGGTTTTAGAAGGTAATTTTTTCCCAGGCAGAATCTGGCCTCTTACATAAAAGAGGAATTGCCCTAGCTGGTGTGGCTCAGTGGATAGAACCTCCGCCTGCGGACCAAAGGGTCCCGGGTTCGATTCTGATTAAGGGCATGCATCTTGATTGCAGGCTCTTCCCCAGCCCGGGGCCCTGGTCAGGGCTCCTGCAGGAGGCAACCAATCAAACACATCAATATATTTCTGTCTTTCCCTCTCTCTCACACTCTCTCTAAAAACCAATGGGAAAATATCCTTGGGTGAGGATTAAAAAAAATAAATAAAAATAAAGAGGAATTCATGAAGAAAACGCTTTGAACCACCAGGACCATTTGCCCTCTGTCCTCCCCTCCCCGCCTTCCCGACCAGTCTGGCCTTGATGATTTCCACTGACCTTGCCTCCCCGGGGGCTCCAGGCTGCTGCAACCTCTGGGCCCTCCCCCTCGCAGGCGCCCAGGCTCCCAGCGGAAATCCTTGAACCCTGTGCTCATGTGGGCCATGAGAGTGCTTTTCCCCGCCCCACCTCACTGTCCTTCTGGGCCGCCCTGTGCCATCCCAAGCTGGTCAGTTACCCTCTCTGTTCCCAGAGAACTGCTGGATAGCAGCATTGCCTGATTGGGAAGTCCAGGGGTTAGCAATCAAAGACTGCGACCCTTGCCCTGGCCAGTGTTGCTCAATGGATGGAGCGTCAGCCTGTAGACTGAAGGGTCCCAGGTTCGATTCCGGTCAAGGGCATGCACCTTGGTTGCGGGCACGTCCCCAGTGGGGGGTGTGCAGGAGGCAGCTGAACTGATGTTTCTCTCTCGTCGATGTTTCTATCTCTCTATCCCTCTCCCTTCCTCTCTGAAAAAAAAAAAAATCAATAAAATATTTTCTTTAAAAAAAAGAAACGAAAAGAAGCTTTCACATGAAAAAGAAGCTTTGGCGATAATGAGTTACATGCGGGAAGCCGAGGAGCCAAACTCCACTGGGGCTTGAGGAGCAGCAAAGCGAAACACGATACACCCCAGTGCCACGGAGGGCTGCCTCATTCCCGGGGCCAACGTGGTGCCAAGTGGCAAGTGGCACCCTGCTTCCCGAAAGCATGCAGGGCTTTCTGAACGCCGGCCGCAGGGGTCATGAATCACTCCTCTTAAAGGGCTTCATCCAAAATCCTGCTCCACCCTCCCCCACCTCCCCACATCTCTCCTCATTCATCACGTCATCTCTGCCCAACATTCTGGGTCGCAGGCCGCCCCCCTGGGAGAATTATCTTTCTTGTTCTCAGGCTCTCCTCTGGGGAGTGTGTCCTGTGCACGTGTCTTTCAGGGGAAAGAAACATTCAAGGAGGGAGGGGGGATTCATTCTGACCTCAGTGGCTGTGCATCTAAGCTGCTGGCCGCTCTGCTAAAAGCTCTTTATAATAATTTTATATTTTTGAAAAAATATATATTTTAAAAATATATATATTTTATTGATTTTTTACAGAGAGGAAGAGAGGGATAGAGAGCTAGAAACATCGATGAAAGAGTAACATCGGTCAGCTGCCTCCTGCACACACCCCACTGGGGATGCGCCGGCAACCAAGGCACATGCCCTTAACCAGAATC